ATGTCTTCGGTTCTGGCAAGGCAGTTTCTAAAGGGAAATAGGAACATCTCCAGTGTTCACCAGAAGTTTATACTTGATTGCGCTAAAGCAAATATTGGAGCATCAAAATCACACGGTTTATACAGTCATATTGTGGGGGAGTACTCTGAAGTTGGGGCGACTGTAGTTAACTTTAAGAATGTTAGAAGGGATCTCAGAGCATACATATTGGGAGCTGATGCACAAATACTGGTGCATAATCTTATTAAGAAACAAGAGATGTGCCCTGCATTTGCTTTTGACTACGAAGTTGATGAAGATGAGCAGATGAGCAGACTGTTTTGGGCAGATCCAATGTCAAAAAAGAATTTTGCTGCATTTGGAGATGTTGTCTCTTTTGATGCCACATACTCAACAAACAGGTATATACTATTCTATTCACATTCTTGCGTACGTTTCATTAATTAATACACATTTAGCATTGCCTGATCTGTTGAGCCATGTTAAGATTTAGACACGTTCACTGTTTTATTGAAAAAGAGTTGAAATATAAATAAGCGCACATTGTCGTTTTATACCACGCATTTTAAACGCTACTGTCTCGCATATTAATGCGAAATTTCCAGAATTAGACCTCAATTACATATGTGTGCTATTTTAATACTTAATGTGCGTTACTCTAATTCTCTAAGTGCGGCAGTTTGACACCTGCATACTGTGATGACGCTTTTTGTCTTGTAGGTACGATTTGGTTTTTACACCCTTCACTGGAGTTGATAACCATAAAAAATGTATAACATTCGGTGCTGGACTACTACTGAAAGAAGACATTGAGTCTTATGTTTGGCTCTTTGAAAAATTTAAAAAGGCAATGGGTATGGAACCAAGAATAATTGTCACCGATCAAGATCCAGCTATGAAAGTGGCGATTCCAACGGTTTTCAAGCAAGCCAGGCATCGTTATTGCATGTGGCACATCATGTGTAAAGTTGGGGAAAAGGTGGGTCCTACGCTGAACAAGGATGAGGAATTCAGGAACAAACTGAACTCAATCGTTTGGACGTCATCTTTGGAACCTCCTGATTTTGAGAAGCAGTGGAGAGAGCTCATGGAAAAGTACAACTTAGTCGAGCACAATTGGTTTACAACTATGTTTGAGGCTAGAAAGCATTGGATCCCAGCGTATTTTAGAGATAGCTTTATGGGGGGTCTACTCAGGACAACTTCTCGTTCCAAAAGTGAGAACTACACGTACAGCCGTTTTACTGGTCCCCAATCAAGCCTAGTTGAATTCATGATGAACTTTGGCAGTGCTCTTAAATCACAACGTAACACAAATGCAAAGCTCAACAGTGACAACGAAGGCTACAATCCAGATATGGAGACGCCTCTGGGGATTGAAAAGCACGCTTCAATCGTCTACACCATTACTGTTTTCTATCAAGTTCAGGAAGAAATATGTGCCTCCTGTTTCAAATGTATGGTGTTGAGTGTTAGAGAAGACGGTGGAATGTTGCACTATGATATTATGGATGGAAAGAACAAAAGATTTACTGTGGTACACAATGTAAATGACCATGAGGCCAAATGCAGTTGCAAGATGTTTGAGATGGTTGGACTGTTGTGTAGACACATATTTGTGGTCTTTAGAGACCTTGAAAGGATCCCTCTGAAGTACGTGGTTAATCGGTGGACTAAGGATGCATCTTTAAAAGCTACATTTGAAATAGATGGTGTCATTTATGATCAGAATGGACCAAAGGATGAAAAGAAGATGTTGCTGAACAAAGTGTGGTCTGATATACACTGCTGTATGGATCTGGCAGGTTCAAACATGGAGCAATTGATTGCATTTTCCCAAGTGATTAATGAACAGAAACAGCTGCTACTGTCAGGAAAAGAGAAATTGTCCCCTCAGCACAGCAGGAGGACTGTTATAGAATCATATTGTGGATCAACAGAAATTTCAGAGATCAACATACTTCCACCGAAACAGGCAAGGAACAAGGGCAGCGGCGAGCGTATCAAAAGCAGCAAGGAGTTGGCAATGGAAAAACAAGAGGGCAGGAAGTGCAATTTTTGTGGTGTTAGAGGAGATCACCATGCATGACACCAGGACTTGCCCACTTAACCCCAAAAATAAGGACAAGCAAAAGGGTAAGAAAAAGGCATAGCAGACTATTTTTTCAATGCCTTTACAGTCGAGAACGAAAATGGATAGCAAATATGAAACACATATACTTAGTTAACTCATTTCAGAACGCTTTTTACAGTTGAGATACTTGAATTTAATGTCCAGCTATTACTAGTTTTTGTTTTTATCACTGATTTGTGTTTAACAATCAGTGCTACTAGCTTAATGTGCGTGTTATTACTACTTTACCTGCGTGCAGTTAATTCTTAATATGCGTTGATTACACTTTTAACGTGCGCTACATTAAACTTTAATATGCGTAGTACAGAAACAGAATTTGCGTTGGTTTATGTATAGAAACTTTGGTCCGTGGTAAACGCCAACGTCTTTACATGCGTCGATTAACATTTAACTTGCGCGACATTAAAGCTTAATATGCGTTCAAAGGCAATATTCAATGATAACATAATATATCACATAATACACATAAAATGATATCATATAAATTTTATTCATTAATAAATTGTATGACAAAAATAACAAATAATGACATAATACGCATAAAAATCTTGATATTTTCATAGTTATTCATCCTTATTACGCAGCCTCCTCATTGATTAAATCCTCATTAGCCAAGTTTCCAACAGGAGCGTCACGCACCTGTTCATCCATCAAATCGTGAAAGTTACTATACTGTAAATACATCAATAAAATTATATATAAAAAAAAAGCTAAAACAATGTAAGTATGCAGTAGATCACCTCTTGATCGAAATTATAATCTTCTCGGTCATAAGCATATGTTGGGAACTCAGCATCTTCTTTCAATAATATTGCACCAGTTCTCTCACAGAACATCAGCATATACCAGAGAGTAGAGGTCTTGTTTCTGTAGGTATTATAGACCACGTCAAATCTACTGAGCAAATAAGCTTTTCCTTCCACAAATCTGTTGAGGCGCCTTTGCGCAAACAATTGTGGAATGTGCATATGAATAAAAGTCCCCTGAAATTATTTAAAAAAAAAACATATGCATCAACAGTAAATTTTATAAATATAAAATATTAAGATTTATATTACACTAAAAAAAATAATACCTCTACATCGTGAAGTACACACTCTATAGATCGAATTCTTTCAGAACCTTTTGTTTCTGGCAAACGAACAACTCGAAGCACTCGAACCCTAATGAAATTCCAGCGTAGTCCTATGCGAAGTTGGTTTCCAACTATTTCGGAGTGGGGTTCGGCTGCCATTGAAATTCTCTTTACAAGGTAGAGTAGAAAAGTAAAAATGTGTTTGAAGGTGACAGGTTTGAGTCGAGAATAATGGTGGATTTAAATAGCAAATTCTTAAACGAATGCGACTGTTCGTATGTGACAACTTTGAGTCTAGCAGAATGCGACTGTTGATATGAAAATGTTCGATCGGGTATTATTAAACGAATATGCGTCAATTTATTCACTAATATGCGCACCTTAAACACGTTATAAACGTGTTATTACTACTTTACCTGCGTGCAGTTAATTCTTAATATGCGTTGATTACACTTTTAAAATGCGCTACATTAAACCTTAATATGCGTAATACAGAAACAGAATGTGCGTTGGTTTATGTATAGAAACTTTAGTCCGTGGTAAATGCCAACGTCTTTAAATGCGTCGATTAACATTTAACTTGCGCGACATTAAAGGTTAATATGCGTACAAAGGAAATATTTAACACTTTCTTTCTCTAATATGCGTTTAATTATTAGTTAATATAAGACGCGTTAAAGATAAGTATAATATGCGCGACTGCAAAACTTAAAGTGCGTTTGTTGGATTATGAAATAATTTGCAGACAAAATGATACATACATAAACGATTGCACATATTTATTTCTTCTAGTACTTTGAAGACATTTCTTCTGGTTCCGACAGCATCCGACACATCACCAGCCACCCACAAATGCTCAACTCTCAGCCTTTGGATGTTGTTTGAAAACTAGACAATGAGCTTGAAGAAGAGAATGATGAATGATGCTTCAGGTTTAGAATGTGTTGTTTTTGTAGTTAGTTACAGTCACTACAAGCTGGAGTGCGAGGAAGATGAAAACGACAGATAAGATGAGGAATAAATGAAGAGGATTCTTCTGTACGTGCGGAAAAGTGAGAGATAGTCATTTCAATAACCTGATGCTCAGTTGTGTGTTGTTCCTTCTAATTTATATATAGGTGAATAACTTGGTCACATGCACTGATTTGAGATTTGAATGTTGCGTGATTTACAGACACATTAGATTTTTCAAGATTTCCTTTAATGGGTGCGTTTTTTAAGGCATTGAATGACCATTCAATGTTATCCGTTTCCCCAACCAACTACAAATGCCTTAAAGTTCTGCCATCAAATATCTTTGAATATTACGTGGATTGGTATAAAAGACTTAATGTGCTTTGCTTTGCTCTGTTACATGCGCGAGCTACAAGAACAACATGCGTGTAAATATAAATTTAATTAATTTGCATCGAAATAAATAATTTTTTAAAGCCAAAAGTTTAATGTGTGTCGTGAAACCAATTAAAGTGCGCGAAATATCAGTCTAATATGCGATTATTATATATTATTAATAAATCCAAAAGTTTAATGTGCGTCGGGAAACCAATTAAAGTGCGCGAAATATCATTATAAGATGCGTTTATTATATTTTATTAATAAATACAAAAGTTTAATGTGCGTTGGGAAACCAATTAAAGTGCGCGGAATATCATTCTAAGATGCGTTTATTATATTTTATTAAAAAAAAAGCAAGTAAAATATAATTTTTATTTTTTTTCCGTTTTTAATTTATCTTTGATATCTTTGAAAGAATATGCGTCAATGATAACATAATAGATCACATAATAGACATAAAATGATAATATATAAATTTTATTAATTCATAAATTTTATGACGAAAATAACAACAAATAGTCACATAATACGCATAAAAATCTTGATATTTTCGTCATTATTCATCCTTATTACGCAGCCTCCTCATTGATTACATCCTCATTAGCCAAGTTTCCAACAGGAGCGTCAGGCACCTGTTCATCCATCAAATCGTGAAAGTTACTAAACTGTAAATACATCAATAAAATATTATATATATATATATATATATATATATATATATATATATATATATATATATATATATATATATATATATATATATATATATATATATATATATAAAGGAAAAACAATGTAAGTATGCAGTAAAACACCTCTTGATCGAAATTATAATCTTCTCGGTCATAAGCATATGTTGGGAACTTAGCATCTTCTTTCAATAATAGTGCACCAGTTCTCTCACAGAACATCAGCATATACCAGAGAGTAGATGTCTTGTTTCGGTAGGTATTATAGGCCACGTCAAATCTATTTAGAAGATAAGTTTTTCCTTCCACAAATCTGTTGAGGCACCTTTGCACAAACAACTGTGGAATGTGCATATGAATAAAAGTCCCTTGAAATTATTTAAAAAAAAAACATATGCATCAAAAGTAAATTTTATAAATATAAAATATTAAGGGGGGTGTATTCAATCATGATTTTCATAGAGTTTTAAAGACTTTTATGAACTTTAAAAGTTTGGAGGTATTCAATTCAAACTTTTAGAGAGTCTTTAAAAGTCAGGCGGTATTCAATCAAGATTTTTAAAGAGTCTTTAAAAGTCGTGTGGTATTCGATTAAGACTTTTAAAAAGTCTTTAAAAGTCATGTGGTATTCAAAAAGTTATGAACTTTTGTAGACTTTTTTTAATTTTAAGACTTGTGTAGACTTTTCCTTCTCAAATATAAATAGTTGAAATCCGACCATCAACCCCAAGATTTCAAATTTTCTTTCTAACAACTTTGAATGTTTTCTCTCTCTATTTAAACTCTATTTTTTCTCCCTATTTAAACTCTATAAACCTATCTAAATTCAATAAAATTATTTTTTTCTTCATTATCCTATATTTTCCTTATACCTAAACTCTACCAATTTTTTTTCTCTCTCTCTCTCCTAAACTTTTAGAATCTTCATCTAAAAATTTGAAATAATATTATTTTTACTTTATTATTGCTTGTTTATATTGATTTTTATTTTTTTTTTCTATAAATTTTTTATCCCTAACTTTCTCTAATTCTCTCTAAATACATGAACAAAACAACTTTTTCATCGTCAAATTTTGGTATACATTTCATAATATTCATATAAATACTTATATATTTTGATTTTTATTCTTTTTATGTTTATATTCGTAATATATATATATATATATATATATATATATATATATATATATATATATATATATATATATATATATATATATATATATTTAACAACAAGTTACTATGAATAGCGAATTACTGTTCGCAACAATAATTTGGGGTTGCAAACAGTAGCACCTTGTTGTTGTTTGCAATCTCAAATTGCTATTGCAAATAATAGTTCTTTGCGTGATGCATAGCAATATATCAAGTATAATTATATATATATATATATATATATATATATATATATATATATATATATATATATATATATATATTATTAATATTAGATTTTTATTTTTTTTATTTTATGCAACTTGTAATTATGTTTTTAAATATTTTATTTGATCAAGTCTTTTATTATAAATTTTATTGTTCAATATTGTTATGAATTTCTAATGAAATAGTTTTTTTTTTTTGTTGATGTTTATTAATAATATATATAAGTAATTAGCATATAAGTCTGAGCATACTATGGATAAAAATAATAATGTTGAGAATGTTGATGTGGGTGAAGAACTATGTAATAAGAAGAATTTTATGATATATTATAAATGTTTTGTAACAAAATTGTAAATGATAAGAATCAAAATCATTGAAACTTTGTAAGGAAGTATTCAATTTAGAATTTCAATGACTTTTGTAAACATTTTTAAAATAAAAAGTTGATAAAAGTCTATGAATGTTTTTTATAT